AAAAAAAAAAAAAAGTCCTTAAAAAAATCTGAAAACAAACTATGTTATGCAGAACCATAAACTGAACAACTTTTGCCTTGGGATCATATCGAAATTCGTTGTCAATTTTAAAATAAAAAATAAAATTAAAGGCACCCTCAATTTTTATTTTATTTTTTCGTGCATTTAATTGCTAAAAATGGAGTTGTCCGGGCCCGGACGTCCGGGACCCCCCTGACTGTCCGGCCAGGACATCCGACCATCAGACAATTGGTAACATAGCAGTTAAGTGCAAAAATAGAAAATGAGACGATTTGGCGCGACACTTATTTCATGATGTAAAATATATATTTTTTTATTTTTTTATTTTTTTTGTGGAAAGATCACGACCAAATGTATAAGCCCTTCAATTCGCAGAGTTGTGGAATCATCCTTTTGACCACAAAAAATCGCAGAAGTTAGGGTACTTTTCCCGTTGGCCAACACGTGCCATGACAAAAATGAAAATTATAACGAAACGGCGCGATATTTATTTCATGGTCTAATTTGATTTTTTAAATATATTTTTTCTGGAAAGATCACAACCTAATCTACACGATCTCATTTTTTCATATTTTTTATTGAATTCTTCTGAGCGAGAAAAATCACCAAAGTTGGCGCTTCAAAATTGCGGGACTGGAACCACCCGCCACACTGTGCAATGTTAGGGTTTGGACACAGGCACATCCTGACCTGCCAGTTGCTTGACGTCGGATACACTTCATAGAATAACAGTCCCCAAAACCACACAGGGACCCAACTCACCTGAGTGGTTATTAAAGTAGACAATTATGTATCTCAAATTTATGCGTGGATTCAAAACCCAACGACAACCATTAGCAGCGAACTTCATAATATTAATATTTATGTGTGCGTGTGTGTGGGGGTGCATGCGTGTGTGTGTGTGGGTGCATGGGGGCGGGCGTGGGGGTGGGTGGGTTGGGGTGTAGGGGCGCAAGGGGCGCATTCCCTTTTTTTTCCCGGCCCAAAAAGGGAAAAAAGAACCTCGAAACGAAAAAAATAAAAATAAAAAAACGAAATCGACAACGAAAAAGCCGGACCCGGAACGACTGATGCGCACCGGACCCGGAACGACAGACGAGCGTCAGACGACAGGCGGCCACAAACAAAACGACACACACGCGGCCCGAAGCGACAGGCGGGTGGTAAAAACAAAACGAAAAAGCAAAAAAAAATGAAAACGGAACCAAAAACGATAAAGCCGGGCCCGCAACGGCGGCCAGCCGGAAAAAGCAAAAGCAAAACGACGGCAGAAATGAAAAAGAAAAAAATTGAAAAGCGAAACCCAAAACGAAAAAGAAAAACATTTCAAAGCCGCTTATCCGATGGCAGCCGCTTCGAGATATTCCCTCACATCTACATCCGCTGCCGCCCGGCCCCGTAGGCGCGGCCTCTCGTTTCATGGCGCACTGTGAACATTTTGGTAGGCGCACCCCTTTGCACACTCCCCCGCCCTGGATTGCGTTCATCTGCCGACCCTCGTCAGAACTTCAACCCCGCGCGCCGACCTCCCCCAGTTTGAAAAAGCCGACGCGGCCGTTAAAGCCACGCGTTGGGCGGGGTACCCACCTGCGAACTACTGGTATTCCCCAAAAAACSCCCCCCCCCCCCCCCCCCCCCAAAAAAAAAAACCGACTAAAATGAGAAGTAACAAACGGAATAAAAACGGGCGAGGCAGGGGGGAAGGGGGGGAAGAACGAGAGAGAGAGAGAGAGAGTGGGCTTCCTGACGCCCTCTCTCTCTCTCTCTGTGTCAACGTTCAAACTCGAATGAATCGTCCGCGTTATGGCCGAAGATTCATTCGAATTTGAACGTTGACACACACACACACACACACACACACACACACACACACACACACACACACAGAGGGCGTCAGGGAGTTTCTGACGCCGAGTTTTATTTTTTTTGAGTCGGGATAACTCCTTGGTGCCATGGATAGACCCAGGGCGTCGGCCCTGGCTTTCCTCTTCAGCTGCTGCATGCTTCTGACATTTATTCTCCTGCAGCGGAATCTGTCTCTACGGGATGTTGATCGAATTCCGGTGACGTCAACAAAAACAGCAGAAGCTACTACCACCACGTCAACTGAAACGCGAACAACCTCCGGTGCGCCGACGAGGGAAACGCCGACGTCAACCGAAAAGCTTGAGTCGACCACTACGACGACGACGACGAGGACGACGAGGACGTCAACAGGCGAGAGAGAGCTCGAGGAGAGGAGGGCGGCGGAAGAAGCTTTCGCGTCTGCTTCGTTGGAAACAGCGATGGCGGCGATGGAGACGATGGAGGCGATGGCCGATCCATTCAGTCGGCTGGCCAACAACCTGGCGAAAGCCGGTGTGATTGGGGAGGTGGTTGACTCCTTCGTCCCGACTGTGGACCTGAGCGTGAAGTATGGGGAGCAGACGGTTACGGCTGGGATAGAGCTATTACCGTCGGAAACGGCTATAGCGGCACGTGTCGAGATAGGCGGCAATGTAGACCGTGATCTCTTCACACTCGTAAGTTTCATCCTCCATCACCTCCTCCTTGGCGTCCCTTCTCCTTCATTATTTTATGTCCCTACTCCTTCCTCTTCTTCTTCTTTCTCCTCCTTCTTCTTATTTTGATACTCTTCTTCTTGGGGCTTCACTTACACTAAGTCTTTCATTCCAGTCAGCGTAGCCGTTTGGTTGAGCGTGCAACCTCCATGAGGGAGGTCGCGTGTTCGATTCTTGAGATCGGATCATGGACGAAAAAATGCAATTCTTCTTCGTCGCCGTCTCTCGTTTTCTTCGTCCTCTTTCTCTTTCTTCGTCTTCTTATTTTGTTCTCCTTTCTTCTTTCTTCCTCTTTCTTGTTGTTGGTGTTCTTCTTCTTCGTCTTCTTTGTCTTTCTTCTTCCTCTTGGTCTTCTTCTTCTTCTTTCTCCTTCTTCTGATTCTGTTGCTCCTTTCCTCTTCTTCTTTCTTCATTTTTTCTTCTTCTTTCTTCTTCTTTCTTCTTCGTCTCTTTGTTTGTCTTCTTCCTCCTTTTCTTCTTTGCCTTGCTTCTCCTTCTGCTCTCACCTTCTGCTCTCACCTTCTCCTCTTCCTTCTTCTCCTTCTTTCTTGTTCTTCTCCTGTCCTTGTCCCTTTCCATTTTTCGCCTTGCTTCCCTCCTCCTCCCCCCCCTCCTCTTCCTCCACCTCTATTTTGTTGCGTGTAATCCTTTCCTCTTTACCTTCTCCTCTCCTTCTCTCCTTCTCTCCTTGCTTTTCTGTTTTCCTCTTTTCGTCTTTTCCTCTTTACCTGCCCGCTTATATCTCGCAAAATCCCTCCTCCTCCTCCTCCTCCTACTCCTGTCTCTGTTCACGTGTCCTTTCTTTCTCTCCTTCCCCCTTGTCGCCGTGATACTGGGTAGAATCTCCATTTTTTCAAACATATTTTTACTATAATTTTCCAGCTTACCTCTTCGCTACTTCTTTCCCTATGTTTTTATTTCTTTATTTATGTAAATTTGAAGGGGAGCGCTCCTAATCTTGTTGTGCTAAGAAATAAATAAATAAATAAATAAATTGTTGTGCTCACCTGTTGACCCCTCAAGGATCGATCTCCTTTTCTTTTTTGCTTTTTCCGTTCCTCTCGCCTTGCGTAACGGTCACGGTAAATCTGACTGAGAGTATTTAGGCTTTTCATTAGTTGGCGGTCAGCTTCCAGAGTGACGAGAGTGTGAGAGAGACATATTCTGGTGACGTCACGTTTTTCGATTCAGGGGGCTTTTCATTAGTTGGCGGTCAGCTTCCAGAGTGACGAGAGTGCGAGAGAGACATATTCTGGTGACGTCACGTTTTTCGATTCAGGGAACTCATGAAACTTGTCGTGAAGTTGTGTTGTTCACATTCATGCATGCATGCATGCATGGGCGTCGCGTCGCACAGGTCTACTCCTGCTTTTTTCACGTCAATCTTATTCTGACTAATGGCCACGGTAATTCAGAACGAGAGACGACCCCTCTTTTCTGTATTTTTGTTGTTGTCAACTTGTCAGGACATGACCTGGACGATACATGACCCCTTTTTTTTTTCTTTCAATTCTTTGTTTTGTTTCGGAAAGGCGTGTACGGTGGCCATCAGTTTTTGAACACAAAAAGAAACAAAAAAAAAACCGACTGCTGCAGAAAAGGAAACAAAAAAAGGTATGTGCACATCAGTCCTCTTTTTGTTTCTTTTTACTTATCGGTCCATAGGTAGCGGATGTCCTGAACGAGACATGACCCTTCCGTTTCATTCGCTGTTGTTCGCGCACTCCGTCGTTATTGTTGAAGGTCTCTTCCGCTTCGTCTCCACCATTACTCCTCTGTCTCTCTCCTTTCCACGCTCTTCGCTGCTGCCCCATTTCCCCTCCCCTACGCTTCTTCCTTCCATCTTATCTCCGAGCTTAATCCTAAAAAAACTTTGTGCACACCTTTCTCGGCCTTTTGGCCAAGATCACGTGTAATATCTGTTCTGGTCAGTTTAATATCTGATCCGTGGTCCATCGGCCCACTTGACATTAAATTACGCCCACGTGATATTAAATTACTAAATATTTCTGGGCTGCGGAGGGATTACAGGTGTAGGCTTGCCGACTCGATCCCTCCTCCAGCGTCGCCTTCGTATTGCACTGCAGCTTCGTCTGGCGCGGCCCTCCCCCCTCTGGAAAGACCCTCCCCCCCAAAACAAAAAAATCTCCAATCTTATCCAATCTTATCCAATCTTTTTTTTTTTTTTTTTTTTTTTTTTTAATCTTATCCAATCTTAGGGCGTACTCACAATAGGACTTGTTTTTTTGCCTACTAGGGTCTGGACTTGATTGAGGTAAGATGTCTGGTCGTAATTGCAGTCAGATGCATTCTGGAAAGTCCGAGTGTGAGTATGCCCTTATCCAATCTGAATCCAATCTGAATCCAATCTTAATCCAATCGTATTATCCTATTTTAGATGATCTTAGGGCATACTCACACGTGGACTTTTTTCTGCAAAACTATGGACGTGATTGCAGTCGGATTCATGGAGCTCTGGCCGTAATTGGAGTCAGATGCATTCTAGGAAGTCCTAGTGTGAGTTTGCGTTTATCCGAATTTTCATTAGACGATGTCGGAGCATCCCTTGTTTTTTTCCATCTTATCCGATCTTATGGGCTTCCCTCCTTTTTTTCTCCTTTCAGCTTATCCGGCCCTATAATATTTCTTTCCCCTTTTTTGCGCTCTGATTCACAATGTGACAATATATCTATCTATTAGGAAGAAGATATAAAAAAAACGAATTCTTTTTTTTTTTTTTTTTTTTTTTTTTCGCTTTTGCGCTCTCATATGTGATGATATACACTCCGACGTTGCTATATATAGAATCATCTTGTAAGCTAACGAAGCTGAACATTTGGTAGTGCCACCTTTTCTATAATCCAGGTAGCACTCTTGAATGTTCGAGTCTAGCAGGAGTATTTCACGTGTTGCGCCTGTGTAAGGTGGATTATCACTTACAATGCAATCAGTTAATAGGGGATTCTGCAGACTGTTTTTGAGGGTTCAGCCTCGACTGATTGATGAGTAAGTCGGTGAAACTCCGACGAAACAGTTTGTCACAGCCCCTCGTTTGTTGTCTTCTTCTCCCTCTCTGCCCCTACGGTGTACCGGGCAGCTCTGTTTGACGCTTACATGTGGGGCTTGTCATCCAGGATCTTGTTGCCCCCTGTTTGTTATATTTGGCTGTTCCCTTCCTCTTTTCTTTGCCTCTTTTTTGCCTTTTGGATGTGTGCAAGTGGGTCGATATGACACACGGGGGTGGGGGCAGCCGCCGCTCAACCTACGTCCACGTGGGCGGTCTTGTACGCAAGAGGTTCTGAACAGGGGGAGTTGTAAGTAAGAAGATAAAAAATGAATTGATATCTTTTTTTTCTTTTTTTTTTTCCCGCTTTTGCGCTGTGATAACTTTGTGACACAGCCTCCTGATGAGTCGGTGAAACTCCGACGAAACAGTTTGTCACAGCCCCTCGTTTGTTGTCCTCTTCTCTCTCTCTGCCTACGGTTTAC